ATGTTCATGTTGTTGGCCCTTGTATATGGGGATGTTATATTTTTTTTCTTATTGTTGATTATGTAATGGAACTTTAACACTGACAATGGTTCTGCACTATATTATGATTATGGATTATGAGTGTTACTCTTTTTTGTCTACCTTTTCCAAATTATGGAAAAAAAGGGAGTAATGTTAATCTTGTCTGCGTTCATGTATGCTTGTGTACATGTCTATTTGTATGGAAATCCTGTGAGATCTCCTGTTTGGTGTGGGCTCATGTTTGATGTTTTGATGAGAGCTATATGTGTAGCAATCATCTTCACTTTGCATGATCTATGATATTTGTAGATGTTGTTGTGTATGCTCTAATGTCGTGTGCTACTTTTGTGTTTATTAATTTTGTTTGAAGATTTACTCATGCACATATTGTAGATATTAAGTTGTTTTATCCAAATTTTTCCAAACGTTGAGATTGTTGTTCTTTTGATTGGTTTTTTTAGGTAAAACAACATGTGCAACAAGATGTAAATTGTGACGAGTCGTCATGTAGGACAAGATGTTCCAATATGAGGTGCAACATTTGGCCTCAGTCTGTAAGCCATGTTACATGAGTAAATATGTGTGTGTGATTGATTGGTCTCAAGGAGATTTGTCATTTATGAGTTGTATCTTTTAGCCATATGTTTATTAAAGATGATTAGCTAAAAATATTGTCCAAGACTAAATTAATTTAAATCTAATCAAATCTCTTAGTGGACATTAATGAATAGCGAATCAAATCTACATCAAAATTAACTTTGCATCAAAATCAAATCTGTTTGTTTTTAGGTCAAATACTCAGGCCCAACAAATATTTTGTTATATAAAGAGACTCATTCCTAACAAATAAACGTGTGCAATAATTGAAGATCTAGTGTGTTAGGGTCTGTTCTTTGGGTCTTTGTACTTGTTGTTAATTGTGGACCTATATGGTCCCTAATTTCCATATAAAAGGCATAAAGGGTGTTTTGTTAGTTGAGTTGTAATTCAACATTCTTTAAAGTTGTTGTATGCATCGATCAGTAGGATTAATGATTAAGAGAAAGTGAGAGGGGTTCTCATATTTAGGGAGAGTCTTAAATAGAAATACATGTGTAATATTAGGAATAGAGGCATTGAATAAGGGTTGTTCATCTAAGACTATTTGTACTAATAATATTGAGAGTTGATTTTCTTTATAGGGTTAGAAGCCCCCCAGATGTTGCACCAAACTGGGTTAACAATCATTTGTGTTCTTTATTCCTTTATGATTTATTTACTATTTTCTGTTGATCTGTTATAAGAATGTTATACACATTTTCACAGACATTGTGTCTAACATCTGTCTTGAGAAAAACAAAATTTCACTCATTTTAAGGAGGAAGATTGGTTCCTATTATTCCCATAATTTAGCCAAGTAGGTGGGTACTCAAATCAGTTATTTAGAAATTACTTGCCTAAGGGTCAAATCTATAAATATCACAATTACATGGTTGGAAAATGTATCCTTTTCTACATAATCAAGATCCTAACAACCCTATTGTAGTCTTTAATGTGAGCAGAGTTTGCACTATTTTATTTAGCACAAGATCAAGAATAATCTTATCAAAGTTAACCTGCAGACCCGAAGCCAGTTCAAACTGAAGGTGAAGAAAAGTGCATAAGAAGGGGGTTGAATTGTGTTTTCTATTTTCTTATTTTACTTCTGATCAGAGTTCAGAATCTAAACTGGTGTTCAGATTCTGATTATACTAACCAGTGGAATGTTAACAAAAGTAAATAAATAATAATATAACACAAAGAGATTTATATTGGTTCCTCCCAAATTGAGAGTAGTCAAGTCCCCTTGCATCATAAGAGATTTTTACTATAATCAAATCATGATTACAATCTCTTATGCATTCAGCATAAGACTTTACATTGCTCAGACCCTAAGCCCAAGACTTCTTGCTTAAACTCCCAAGGCTCAAGACTTCCTTGCTTATACCAACAGCCTAAGACTTTACTGCTCAGATCCCTCAGACCTGAGACTTCCTGCTTAAACCCCTCAGGTTTAAAACTTCTGCTCAAACCCCTCGGGCCCAAGACTTCCTACTTAGACCCTTGGTCCAAGACTTTCTTGCTCAAGTTCCACGAATCCAAGACTTCTACTTAGACTCATATTCTGAGACTTCTTACTCAATCAATCCACTTGATTAATACTTTCAATGCTCTAGCACATAGCAGGAGACTTACATGGCTCAAGCATCTTGGCGAGCGACTTAGGTGCTCAATCAATTCACTTGATTAAGACTTTCAATGCTCTAGCACATAGTATGAGACTTACATGGCTCATGAATCTTGGTGAGAGAGTTAGGTTCTTAATCAATCCACTTGATTAAGACTTTTAATGCTCTAACACATAGCAGGAGACTTACATGGCTCAAGCATCTTTGCGAGAGACTTAGGTGCTCAAGCACATAGCAAGAGGCTTTATCTAAACTAAAAAACAACATGTTCAGCATAACAGAGAACAAGGTGTACTTGATACAAACATCAGAGGTCCAAGGAAATCACCATAACAAATACCTAAAGCTCTTAAGATTTCTAAGATATTCAATGTTTAAGAAATCTTAAGGCTTTTACAATTTACAACAAATAACAGAAGATTCTGCATACTTGATTGTGTTGCTTCATTATTAATCTTGTTATTCCTCCATTTGATCCTTGTTAAAGATTCATTTTGAACCTTCAGCTACTTATATAGCAGTTCCAGAAGACTAGTCGTTGGAAGAGATAACTTGATCAAGTGTCTGTGCTTTCTCCATAGTACAAGAGACATTGAAGATAGATACACCAAAAGATCTTAATCCATTTTGTAACATGTTTAACCATTTAATCTTCTATGGGATCTTGTACTAGAGATCCGTTAAGAGTAGATATCCGTAAAGCATACCAACTCTTCTTGAGGCTTGTGATCTTAGACTCTAACTGACAAACAAATTTGACAATGCAGCTTGCTTTTTGCAGTACAGATAGCTTCATCTTTATCACTAACTCAGAATGATCACCAGAAGCCAATTATATTCACTAAGTGTAGAGATAACATGTTGCTTCTTCTGATGTTGAGACCTTCAACTTCAGAGTTTATGCCATACATCACTTAGAGAGTGTTCTTCAGATTCTGCACCACCAGAAGCTAGTAATTCAGCTTCTCTCAAATGCATCCTTATATCAGATTATGAATGAATATCTTTAAGCATTAGAACATGCATACTTGAAACAAGCATCAAATAATATCATTGTTCTTTTAATACTTTTTATCATCAAAACCTAAGGATTATATGTCATGAACAAATCTTGTTCTAACATAAATCTCTAAGTATTTCCTTATTTGACTAGAGGTTATCTACTAAAGCCTCTTCCAAGATAAATGTGTCATCTGCATATTGGAGATGAGAGACACTCAGATTCTAAAAGCAACTCTAAATCTTGAAAGCTGATCAATGTACATAACCCTAGTGAAAAATCCATTAAGGTATTCCACCGCAAGAAGGAAAAGGAAAACATCTATAGGGCCACCTTCCTTCAACCTTCTTTGGATGCTAATTTCTTAGGTTGGAGAAACATTAACAAAATCTGCAAGATTCCCAAAGAACACACAAACACACGTTCAAGATCTCCACTTAGTATTAAATTCAAACCTAATAAGCATATAATCTAGGAAACTTCAACTTACTGAATCATACATTTTTTTTCATATTTCAACCTTAAAAAGAGGCAAGTTTTTTTGTTTGTCATGTCCACGTCTCATTCACTACCACCAATCCACTTGCTAACAAAGTGTCTTTAAGAAAGGCTAATTGATTTGGGAAAGTGAGGTTACTCATAACCTATGCAAGTATAGCTACCAACATTTTAACAACATTGTTTATAAAGAAAACCCATTAGAGAGTTTGACGTAAAATGCACCAAATGGGAAAAACACTTAATCTTTTGGATCATGGTAAAAAAAATAGAACGTGAAACAATGAGAAAGATATGCAAACCATAGAAATTGATCAAACATATCCCTCGAGTCCTCCTTAAGAAGAAACCAAAACATTTTCAAAAAGAAAAATGGCTTAATTGCAATTGTTTCTCTCTGTTTTTTTTTTTTACTTTTGATCACATATTTTAAAATCCAAAATTTTAATCCCTTTATTTTCAATTTTTTAGATTTTTGATCCATTTTTCAATTGAGAAAAGAACTAAAATTTAAAACAAACTTAAAATAGGGGGACCAACAATAAAATACATAAATAAATAAAATGACCAAAACTCTAAATTTTAAAATAGAAGAACCAAAAATTAAAAAATTAAAAACAAAAGAGTCAAAATTTTAAATTTTAAAATAAAAGACCAAAATTAAAAATAAAATAAAAATTAAGAACTAAAATTACAATTATCCCAAAAAAATTAAATCAATCTATCCCAAAACAAATTAAATCAATCTACCCACGAACTTTTGTTATAATTGTAGAGGGAGTGGCCCGGTCTAACTCACTAAAAAAATTATTTATTGAAAAAAATGGCTTAAAAACAACATTTATAATTTTTTATATAATGTTAATTAACATTTTTTTCAAATGATGTCATCTCATTAGCATTATTTGCATTACTTTTAAATAATATATTTTTTAATTTAAATAATGACATCTCATTAGTATTATTTGCGTCACTTTTAAATAATATTTACCAATATTTTTAATAAGAATTTTTTTATAAAAATGTTACTAGTAATTCTCCACCTTCCATTTATATTTCTTTTCCTTAATTTTATATGAAATGCACTCATTTGGAATATGGAAAGAGTGGAGTATGTACTATTTACTGAGTTATTGACAAAAATTATATAAAGAAATTATCACCACTCACTCGTGTCATCGTGTATATAAAAAATAAAGGGTGTGTTTCAAAACCAAGTGGCCTTAACCTTATCCTCTGGTTAGGTTCTTCGCCTAAGAGATTCTTCTATTTCCATGGAAACTTTATCGAACTCCGTTTCAAATCTCAAAATCTCATCGCTACCACCAACAACAACAACAAATCGTGAATTCCATCACTTCACAAGAACTCCTCATGCAATCCCTAATCGTCCTCCACAACCAAAACCCCAAAAAATCACAAATTTCTCACACAACAATCATTCTCTACCATTCTCTTCTTTAACCACCTCATCTCACAAAGTCAAACCGTCTTCTCCAATATTCCATCACAAGCCTGCTACTGGATATGCTGCTGCAATCATAGATGTAGCTCAAACCACCAATACACTTCACTTAGTTCAAAGGGATGTTCACCGACTCTCGAAATTCTTGCGGAAATCGAGGCTTCAATCTGATGGAGGTATTGATGCTTCGGCGGTGAGGAAGGTGGTGGAGCAGGGGAATTTTCAGCGGCATGTGGTTGCGTTGGTGAAGATGTTAATGAAGAAGAAGAAATTGGGAATAGTTGGGGAAGTGTTGGAAGAGTTCGAGAGGATTTACGATGAGTTGTGTGGAACTCAAGTTGTGTTGATTTCATCAAAAAGAGAGGTTGGAAAAGATCAAATGTTTGGGATTGCAAAAACTGTGCAAAAAATAAGTGGAGCAATTAGGGTTAGGGTTAGGAATTTTGTTCAAGATTAGAACATTTTTATATGAAAAAATGTAATGCAATATTTTGAAACTGAATTGCAATTGATAGAGCATGTTACCTGATTTGATTTTTATGGGCATTGATCAAGAGCAGAATTTTGCCACTTTTTCTGATCTTTTCGTTTAACAAACTTTTCAATTCAATCAAAATACACATCATGTTAGAAATAAAAATTCCCATGAAAAACAATAAAAAAATTCCGTTGCCGGGACTTGAACCCGGGTCTCTCGGGTGAGAGCCGAGTATCCTAACCAACTAGACTACAACGGATTGTTATTAAATACCTACTAATTTATTATAATACTTGTTTGTGTTCAAGCAAAATTTCATTTCAAGTTTTCCAGGCTATTGATGTGTATTCTTCAAGCATCATAATTATATGAATATATTATTCTGTCGCTAAATTACTTTTACCTTTTAATGAGTTATTTCAAACAAGAGAAGAAATTTTAATAAATATGTCATGATCTAACTTTACTTTTTCTTTTTATTATTATCTCTATTTTTTTATTATAAGTCATTTTGATAAAATATTTTGTATCATGTTTTATATTAATGTTATTTTTTATTATTATATCCTTAAATATTTATTATTCTCTTTATTTTTTATTATATAAATTTGTCTTTCTAATATCATTAATGAATGACAATTTTGTAAAACTGTTTATAATTTTTTTTCCATGTCATAATTAAAAGTCAAAAACGACTTATAATAAAAAACGGAAGAAATATTATTAATTGTCTTTTAATTTTTTTTTTGTTCTATTATATTTGAGGTTTATTTTAATCTCATAATTTCATAATAATTTTTTAATTATACCAAATTATATAAAAATCATTTACGTGAAATTTATTTCTCAAAGTCAAGGATGACCTCTCTTAAAATTTTGATAACTTACAAAATTATCTATCACAACATTTATGTTAGTCTTAAATCATATTTCTAATAGGTTTTTAAATTTTAAATTAGGTGTCTTAAGTTTTAATATGTATAAGTCCAATGGAATTCACCCGATTAATAATCCACTCAAAAGAGCATGGTCGGGCTAGAATAACTAATGGGCTAAATTCGTTATATCGGTCTAAATATGGTGCAAAACAGTATCTGATCAATATATGATTGATAATGCATTTATCGTTCATAAAGGGATTTCATAATTAGGGATTTTGGACAATCAAGCCTTATTCCTGATCACCATTAAGAGGTTATATCGATCAGGATCAATCACGTCAAATGTCCTTTGATGGACCTCCATGTGACGCAGTTTAAAACTACTATATAAGGAGAAGAGCGTATAATGAGCATTCATTCACAATTCATCATGTTATTCGATTGTGACTTTACTGGTCTTCACTAGTAGAGTTACCACATGGGCCACCACATCACATCCAATAGAAGTTTGACCCCATCTCATGATGATTAGGGCCACCACCAATAATAATAACAACAATGGTGACCGAGTTAACATATCGAAGATATTGCCAGCTTAGAGGTATTGTATATATAGAATCAAATGTCGACGAGAAAGAAGAGCTCAGTGATCCTCAACCACTCACAACATAAATTTGGGGGCTTTGGCTCATAGAAATTTCAAACAACCATTGTTAAGGTCGTTTGATGGTGAGGGCACTCCATGGGAGCACATTATCACCATACTCGGCCAACAAGCACAAAAAAGTTTCCATTACAAGCCTATTCAATATTCGACGAGGCCATTCGAGTCCTTGCTCAAATATTTGTCCAGATTTAATAAGGAGACAATCAAGTTTTCCAATCCAAATCAAGATACGTTCGTGGAGCTTTTCAAAATGGCATCTAGGTCGGACACTTCAATGAATCCTTGGTCAGAAGTCAGACACTTCATTGAGGGAGATTGTGGCAAGAGCAGTATGTTATATCCATGGAGGAAAGTAACACTAAGAAAAGAACCTGAGATGCAAGAGAGATATGTGGAAAATTTTCCAATGTGTATGGCCAACAAGGGAATCATAATTCAATACCAATTCAAGAAAATGTTGCATTCAAGCCAACCAGATTACCCTTAGAGCATTTCTTCCAATTGAACACCAAAAGAGAATGGATCCCCTAAGACATCAATCACACCAAGTTCATTATCAAACCTCTCGCCCCCAAAGGAGACATAATATGGAACGAACTTGGAAAATGGTGTAAGTACCATAAGGTACATGGAAATCACGAGTATGATTTTCACCACTTGAACTAGGAAACAGAGAAGTTAATCCAAAAGGGTATCCCTTAAAGGGTTTTGATGATAACAAATTATTGAAAGAACAATAAGGTTTAATAATGGTTATTTGTGCAGGATCAAAAGACATTAACCTTGATATGAATTAAGTTAATCACTCAGAAGAACCACTAAAGAGAATAAAGTTGTTCTAAGTCTGAAAAATCAGAACTAAGCTTTCAGACTCTGAAGAGTCTGACTCAAGTCTTTCAGATGTTGAACCTAAGATCAATTGGAAATATAAAAATCATCTTAGCTGTGAAGATTAGAACCATTTGAAGTAAGCAGACTCTGTTATAAGGAACAACTCTGCATCTTCTGAACAAGTTGCATCAACAACTCTAAAGATACCACTTCAAAGGAATTTGTCCATATCAAGTCATCAACTCTTTAAGTGATTATCCAAACTAGTTTTGATCAAGACTCTGATGAAGGAAAGACTCAGGACCTGTGAACTCAAGACTCTAAATTCTCATTCCAACCAGGTTCTAAAGACATACTTTAGCTTTCGATCATGCTTTAACTAATTCTATAAAAAGCCTATGAATATGAATTCAAAGTACAAGGATAACAATGACTCTAAGAAAGCTTCAACAAAGGTATACAAGAAGACTTCATTCAGAAGTTATCCAAGGAAGATCACATGACAACGATACACTACTTTATGTCAAATCTGGTGCTAGTGACGTTTTCAGGATCTTCTCTCTCCAACTGTTTAGAACTTTGCTCTACTACTCTCAATGTCTTTATGCTAGCTGATTTTTTAGCTCGCTCTATTGTTCATCAACTAAAGACTTTCAACAACTACTTTTACCATGGTAGCTTTCAACGACTATCTGTCCTGTTAGGTCTATGATTTTATGATTGTCAACAACTTTGGTAAAACATGTTTAATTTGGAAAAACATGTATCACAACCAGATGTTGAGCAAGATGTCATGACATCTTGACCAACTAGTACAATAGAGTTTATTGTTACTTTTCTTGACAGATGTTGTGACATGTTATATCGGAACATCATAACAGTTCTGCATTTTAAATTCTTGAAGATTTGATTTTAAAATATGAGATTCTGGATTATTTTAGTTCTCATACAAGCACAACTAAGCAGAGATATTTTAGAAACATTGTAGATTTGATTTGGTTTCATAAAAAGGACCTTGGAGACCTTTTAGGAAACTTTGTATTTTGTTTTTATTATTATGCAGGTGTAGCACCCCAAAATTTGCCCATCTCTCCTTTTGTGTTTTTTGTTATGTTTCATTGCATTTTCATTCTCATTTTTGCATAGCATAGTTCTAGACAAGAGATCAATGTATCATGGCTTGTTTCTCAAGAAAGAGGGACTTGTTTCATCAACCTCAAGCAAGGTTTTCTTCTTGACTTTGTGGCATTCTAAAGCCTAAAGGTCCATCATCATTAAGTTTGATTCAAGGAAACATCATATAAAGATCATATGTGATTCACCATGTCTTAGTTTGCAAGAAATAATCAAGAGTTTCAAAGTGGGTTCAAGGTGTTTGACCTAATTTAACAAATTGTGGATGCTATAACCAAATGGGCATAACTCCTTCATTTTTCAACATCTTGAGGTGGTTATTTTTCTAATGAACTACTCTCATCCCTCCCAACAAGTTCTCTTTGCAAGGAAATGTCCAATTGTGCTTAGAAAGTCATCAAAAGTTTGAAGACATTATAGGTTATTTTGAGTTTTGGAAGGATTTTCTAGTCAACTTCAAAAGGTCATAACTTGGTCATTTCCCATCATTTGGAGCTCATTAATTTTCTAAAATGAACTTGAAGATGTCCTCTACAACTTTGATTCAAGGTGGAAGTGCCAAAAACCTATGGAAGACCTTGGTTTTTATCAAAATATTATAGGTCATTTTTGGTCCCTAAAAAGACTTGAAATGTTTCTAAGTATTTTGCAATTTTGAATCTTTTCATGCAAGCTACTTTGAAGGATCATATCTCTCAGCTCAAGTTGCCAAATTAATACTTTATTTTCACATTGAAAAGATTGTATTTCCCTCTATCCATTGCAAGAAAAATGAACTCATAAAGCCTCCTACATTGTGAGAACCATGGTTGCAAAATTTGAATTACAAGGTTGAGCTTTCACTTGAAGTCAAAATTGAATTTGGTTGATATGGTCTCTAATCATCAAATTAAGGCACGAATTTCATTTAAACATGATTAACAAACTTGCCTGGGTCGATTAGAGCATTGAAACGCAAGCTTTAGGTGAGTTTTGATAAGTTGCAAGTCACACTTCTTTCATGACGCAGGTGTGCATGAATTCGTTTCATTTTGCATCATTCACCCTTCCTCAACATTCCAAACTTCACTCATATAAATAAGGACTCGATCCTACCCCTTTTCATAAGCTTTGATAGCCAAAATCACCCTGTTGAGATCCCATTTGAACTCTTAAGCTTGAACTTTGTTTTTTCATTTCCACACGTTAATCACTCAAAATCTCGACTCAGTTAGCTTCATCATCATTTAGTGAAGCTAACCAGCTCAAAAACTTGAAGAATCGTGGCTTGAATCAAGCTTGAGAGCTCCATTTTTAGAGCTTCAAAGTTGAGCTTCAACAGGTACAATTCTCAACCATTTTGATTCAAATTTGTTGCTAAGATGTAGTCCTTGATGTACTGATGTTGTTAGATTGTTAGATTATAGCTATGGTTGAGTTTAGCATGTTAATTTTCAAATCCGTGTTTTGTTTTTCTTCTGGTTTTT